AATAATATTTTTATTTAGTGTGGGGGTGGGGTGGGTAGGTGTGTTGGTGGGGGTAGGGTGGAAAAGTTGAAAAAGAATTTTGAAAAATATTTTCTCTCTTTTGGTAGGAAAAACATTTTCCTTCAATTTTAAAAAATGAGTTCATGAGTAAAATGTTTTCCAAAACATTTAACCCAACCAAACATGGAAAAATTGGAAAACGTTTTCCGAAAAATATTTTCCTTCATACCAAACACACCCTAAAAGTTATGTTTTTTCGGAATCGATTATTATGTTATAATATATGTCCTCTATAATAACATTTCAATATAGGAACCAAAAAATATTGGAGCAAACGAGGTTGTTATAGAGGGGTTTGGTTATATTTGAGTAAATATTTGCTGACACTATTCATTCTCAAACTCCTTTGGGTTGTAGTAAGTATTTGATTGACGAATTCTACAAGACTACAACGCAACTATATACATGTTCTTTTTCCTTTTCTTTTGCATATCTTATTTTATGTTTGCTTTATCAACATCTCAAAGTTTAATGCTGCATTCTTTTTCCATTTTTACACCAAAGAGGCAATTGAAAAACATGCATTATTACAAGATATAAGGAGTAACCTTANCCCACAACCCCCGAACAACAACAAAAAAAACCCAATAAAAGTTACATATCTAATCCAACCACACAACACACGTAGAGATAATCATGCCCCATTCCATCAGGGACATTCGATAAAACTGGAACGATACATAGATCATTAATTCATGCACCATTCTTCGAGAACTTTTTCAAAGGCTGAACCAAACATACGAATAAGTCCAAAATCATCGTACGAATCTATTAGAACCTTCAAATCACCAACATCGAGAAATAATCATTCCCCGTTCCATCAGGACATTCAATAAAATCGGAACGATACATAGATCATCAAGATAATCAATTCATGCAGCACTGTCCTAGAAATTTTTTCAAAGGCTGAATTTTTCAAAATTCATACAAGTACTTCTCAAAAAGTGGCATATGGTCAGCATCTAAACACACAGCCAACCTCAAGTTCTTGTCATTACTTGGACTTGGCAATATGTAAACTGTCCCTTCATACAAAATACAAGCAGGTCCCATATGAATTGGTTTTCCCCATCCAAAATCTGAATCATGAACAGGCAACCTAGTCCAACTGTTAATATTAAGATTAGGACTAGCAAAATACGTCGGTCCTCGGATTAATTTAGATAAATCTGTCTGTAATTCGAGATAATCTATCGCTGATCTTAAGTATTCGTCGTCCATTCTTGCTAACGCGCTATGAATTCTTTGAGCTGTGTTCATCAATGGCTCTGATAAAATTTCACCAGATTTGGCAATTGGTGTAGCTGTGAAAACAACATTTCCTAAGTAGCCTGGTGGTAAAGGAGGAAAAAGTCTTGACCTACCATCTGTAGCAACATGTAACTTTGTCAATTGGTCATCGTCTAGGACACGTGTTTTGCACGTGCATCGCCATATATGGGCCGCGAGTATTTCATATGTACTACCCTCGTGTTTTGACTTCGTCTTGAGTAGGGTCAGTTGGTCACTTGTGATCTTAAACATGGCTTTGGTACTGGATTTTGAACCGCTAACTTGATCATGAACGTTTTTTGACGATGATTTTAGGGCCGGAGGAGAATGATACTCGACGTGTTTATAAGCGGGGGTTGGTGGGTCCCGTGCATGAAGGAGGGACCGGTCGATGAACGGTGAGACGGCGACGGAGACGCCTCGGGCAACTTCCGACCATGTGTTGATGAAATGAAGGGATGAAATGCCGTCAGATAATGTATGGAAAACGCCACACCCTAAGGAGATTCCACCACACTTGAAACGAGTTACCTAAATAAAAATCAAATTAATAGCTAGAGTTAATTAACAATGGTCCTAAGGGAACAACATAGTGATAACCAGAAATTAAAGTCACAACTTACGTACATTACGGGTTCGAATTCATTCACCACGTGAGGATATGATGATATGGTTGTAATACATTTTAATCAGATGTATTGTGTTTGACCTTTAGAAATGAAAAATATTTTGATAGAGAACGCTTTACCTTTTTTACTTCCGGATAAAAACTTAATTTAAAGCAGTTAACACCAAATTAGTGATTTTTGTTTTCTTGAGGTTTGTTTAATTATTTTTTCATTGAAAATGAAATGAACAATACTGACAAAATGACGAGTACAAATAACAACCACTCTAGAATTAGGGAACGCAAAAAGACACGTAGGCTAATAGACATAATAGTACATAAAATTAAGAGGAAAAGCTTGGAGGTAGTTTTTCCCATAATGGAAGAATGAGACATTGAAGAAAGAAAGGTTGAATTTCCTGTTACGTAAAGTGAAATAAATGAAAAAAATCTAATCCACTAAATTTAACAGGTGATATCTGTCAACAAAAAAGAGGCCGTAAATAAATTTTACACGTAAAAAATAATTACAAGCAACCTTTCATAAAAATTGAGATTTGTAATCACGAAAACAAAATATGTTATTTATTATAACGTATAGGTAATATTGAAAACCAGACATGTTATTTATTGTAACGTACATATAAAAGTAATCTGGTAGTATAAATTTCTTTTAAACTAAGAGACACAAGTTAAATTAACTCACTGTGTTTATGCAAAAGATCACAAAATAAATAGAAAAACAACCAGAAAACATGAAAAGTGAAAACACGTCCCTTAAGGCATTAAGTTAAGAACTTAAGAAGGTAAGAAAATTTTGAGAATTTAGTTATTCTTTATTCCATTATATATGATATTTTTTTCTTTTTAATCTGTTCAAAAAAAAAAATTTGTTTGAGAACTTTTTAACTTTAATATTTGTATTTTATGTTCAATAACATGCTCATATATCGACATAATTGTCATGATATGTCAAGATCATACATTTTAATGGTGCTTTTGGTAAAGTCGAATCCATTATTTTAACTTGACGAGTTCAATTCTAAAACATTCAAATATGTTGTACTTTTGAAATCATGAATTTAAAATTTGATGTTTTATATTAAAATTACTGAATTTAATTGAACCAATTATTAATAATACACATCCGCCTTTAACTTTTGATATGTGCCGAAATATGGTACGCGCCAAAAGTATATACACTACTACTTTATTTCTTAAATTTAGCAATCAATTAAACACCATCACATATAATAAAACAAAAAAAATCACCTTTTTTTTGTGCAATTGTAGCATGCAG